CCTGTGTATAAGCGTCCTCGCGGCAACAATTTTTCGACTCGAGAAGAAGCGGAGGCATGGCGGAATTCCATGGAGATATGAGGCTCGGGGAGGCGAAAGGAGGGGGAGGTTTGATAGAGGCGCGTCATCATCAAATGAGGAGCAGCGAGGCCCTTCGACCCTTAAAAATTAATTTGGAAAGTCAGCCGCCTCCGAGTGGTGTGCAGCTCCTGGAAGCTGCTCGATTCTCCGTTATATATATATATACATATATATATATATATATATGTATGAAGAGAACGTCGGTGGTGGGCCGGTTTCCGATCTCTCCTGTATTGCGGAAATCGCGAGTCGCGGGCCGCCGCACCATGGAACGAAAACTTTTCAAATGAGCTAACTTTGCGTGTGTCTTGCGCTTTTGCCGCGTCTCGCAACCCCTTTATACTCGGAAAAACTCGCATATTAGTAAAGTTGTCGGCAGAGACGCGAGCCTCCGGTTCTAAGCCTCCCTCCCTCCCTCCCTCGGCCGAGAGAGACCATCTTCCGGCCTCGATGGACTTTTTTCCTCTCCCCTCTCCCCCTGGCCACAATAATCTCGAATGCGTTTAACCCTTTCCGCGAGCGCGGCTTTCGAGTCGGTTCTCGAGATCGTTGAAAGGAAGCGCGTCTTTTAATTTAAGAAATGTGACCAAACCTGTTATTATATATGACTGGTTTCGAAGAAATCGAACTTCGTAAAAAAAAGAAAGAAAGAAAGGAAAAAAAGAGTATCGTAATGAATCGTATAGGGTAAAGATATCTATAATTGGCCGCGTGTTACTGTTATAATGATATAACTTTAAAAAGAAAAGGTATGGAAGACACAGATCGGATACTATTATTGCACGACAACGTTTAATAACATAGCGTAAGAGCAACGAAGAAGTGATCGTATATCGTGTCATCTAAATTATCATATCTATCTGTTCGCCTACCAGCATTATTTCACCGATTTGAAATTTAAAATATTCTCGAAAGAATATCGAAAAGTTGTGTTTTCGAGAAATATTTACTCTTTCTCTCCCCTCTCTGAACGAAAGCACATCAAATGCACGAAAAGAGGAGACCACGAATTAATCTGTACACCCAATAATATGATTATATTGCTAATATATATAATATCACGCGAAATAAGCATTGCTTCGTTAATTTCGAATTATTCTATTTCTAAATAAAGAGGATACGTAAGAAGATTTTTAATAGTTCTAACCTCGTTCCATGCGCAAATAATTTCTCTTCGTTTCGAGATCAATTAGATACAAAAGTATCAATTATCTTTCTATTGACAGTTACGCAAGCCTTGTTAAGCGGCTTTACTCTTACGTGCGTGAGCCGTGGATAAGACTGTAACAAAAAAAAAAAAAAAAAAAAAAAAAAAAAAAAAGAAAAAAAAGAGCCTACTGCGATACGCCACTCGCAATTTGGCCGCCGTGATTTCAATCGGCCGACGTCGCTAACGAGATTTTCTAACGAGATCCGTTTCCTTTTGTTTCAGGCCAAGTTGTTGGAGTCATCCCACGCTTGGCTCGGAGCCTCCACATCGAGTATAGCAGGTAAGTCGTTCGTCGCATTCCACGTCTACCTAATCTGTGCCTCGCTGTCTCGGCAGCACATTTCAGGAAAACGATAACACGTGTAACACGATCGTAAGCTGCTGCGCATCGTACCGATCGTTCCTTCGAGATTCTTCACTTCGAAACTTACTTACTTTCTTAACATTAGAGAACACCGATATAATGTCCATAATAACGATTCTTTTCAATATATTCGCGACCGCGATTTTACTCCTCTTGCCGATAATTTGTGTCTCTTCAGGTTAATACGAATAATACAGGTTCTGTCCTTATCTATATATATATATATATATATATCGAGAAGAAGAGGGAGAAAAGAAACGGGGCTGGAAAAGTGTATAAATCGGTGAGACGACGAGGACCAAATGTCGATGGAAGAGATCGTCGAAGAAAAGGGAGAATAGTACGTACGAAGAACTAGTAGTGAAGAGAAAGAGAATGGTACACGAATGAGATAGAGGCAGTACGTTGTTATCTCTGATAATAAAGCGCAGAAATATGCCCGTTACTTTGATATATATTATAGAGTAATTTAGATAGAAAAACCGAATGGCCACCCGTTAATGGGACCAACACGTTCACGACTCGCAGCCAATTCTCCCACTCGCGCGCTCTTCGTATCCTTTCGCCCTTTCCTTTTTTATTTTTTTCTCTTTCTCGCAAAACACAGCGAGAATCGAACAAACATCACAACTCGGTTCGAGTGGGTTGCCGCTTTCAACGATCGTTTCGATTTTTTTTCTTTCTTTCTTATTTATCCCGATCTAATCTCCTCGTTTATGCGCTTCCCGTCTTTCTTAGTGGCACTTACTTCATAAACTCGTCGCGATATTTGCTATACGATATTTGAAACGTTTTACGCGCGCGCCATTAGTATCTTCCAGTGATTTCGCACGGATGGCGGCCAAGATCATTCATCGTCTTCAAGATAAATCCATATCTTATCCCAATTCTGTTCCTCTTCTTCCTGGATTCGGTTAAAAATCTTCCCCACGATTTTTCACCTCTGGTCCTCCTCTCGTAATAATAGCTTTATATCGCGGATTCCATGATCTCGTCGTTTCACCGCTTTGTCGCACGGTCACCACCCTTTCTTTTCCTACCCTTTCGTTGTGCTCGCGGATCGGATAAATTCGTTCTCATCGACGACGAAATTTTCGAACGAAAAGAAAAGAAACAAAAAAAAAAAGAAAAAAGAGGAGCGAGAAATGGTGCGCAAACAGAGCAAAGGGAGACGACAAAGGGATACCGGAGGGTAATAATCGGGGTGGGGTGGGGGGAAAAAGGTAGGGGAGTTTGGATGTTTGGTATTTCCGGTATATATCTAGGCGACGAGAATGTATAACGCTGTATCTCGTGTCCGTCGGCCAGCTACCTCCTCCAAGAGATCGGTCGATCTCTGGGTCGGGTATCAGCCACAGGGTATCACGAAAAAAACGAGACGAAATCCCTGACTATTTTCTAGCTGACTATTCAACCCTGCTGAAGCTGAAGGCGCCCACGTGGACGCGGCACGATCTCCAGGAAGCGATCGAGGCTGTGGTTACTCAGAAGATGCGATTCACCCAGGCGTCCACGAAATACGGGATACCGAAAGGCACATTGTACGACAACATCCTCGGAAAGACGAAGAGGATGATGGTCCTCGAGGAGGCGGGGTTGAACTCGAGCGAGGAAACGGCCGTGCTCGAGTTCTGCTGCGACATCAGCGTCAGCCCGTACAATCGCCGAACGAAAAAATCATTGAACGCGATCCTCAACTTTGTCGAAAAGTTGAGGCGAAAACGTGACCCTAATTTTGTCTTTAACGGCCTCTCTGGTTTCCGTTGGTGGTGGGCTTTCTGTAAAAAGCACTCGATAGTCTCGCTTTACTTCAACGACGAGAACGAGAACGATCAGTGACCTCTCACTCACTCTCTCTCTCTCCCCGTGTCATTATTGATTCGCCTCTTTGTAAATCTTTGTGCCTTCTTTTTTTTTTTTTTTTTTTTTTGTCCGCGACGATCCTTGAACTTTTTCACTGGAGATTCACACGCTCCACGAAAGTAATGTAACAGGTTCGTAACACCGATTGTCGCAAATGTTTAAACTGTTTTAAAATGTTTTCGAGCGGCGAAGAAGCGATTACGGGATAGATATCGCGTATTATTTCCCCTTTCGATCGATATTTTTCACATTCCACGCGCATTCCATCCTTTTTTGGTTCGCGGACCAAATTTTTTTTTCTTTTCCGAAACGTGTCCAAAGTCGCGTGTATCATTCGCAGCGGGACCATAATCATCGTAATAAGTAGTAGCAATAATGATAATGGTAACGTTTATATTGTAGTTAAAGCAATAATAATATATTGCGCCTTATCGCGGTTAACGATTATTCCAGCGATATAAGCAAGTGCCTTTTGCTCGATGTCTTCCACTCCGTGTAGTTTAATAAATTCGATCTTTATTTTTAGTCGCCGCGACTCGAGCCTTCGTCGTCACGAATATATGGTATAGATCGATAAAAGCGTTTCAACTTTTTAATCCTACCAATCAAATGTTATAATATCGTGTATCTTATTCGAATGTGATATCAACGTGAATCTCAAAGTGTACAATCATAATTGTTCTTCGATTTATTCCCACTCTCACGTTTAGAGAGTCAAATATGTACATTTGAGCGGATGGATCTTGTTGTAACATTCCATTTGAAAAGAAAAGAGAGAAAAAAAAAAAAAAAAAAAAAAAAGAAAATTTGTTCGAAAGCATTTGTTTTGCGTATAACGATGAGAGAACGGAGGACGGGCTGTCGTAAAATGATTTTGGCCAGTCGGAATGATATATACTACTACCACGGTATATATCGTATAGATTTTATATTAGAATTTTAAAAGAAAGATTAAAAAAAAAAGAAAAAAAAAAAAGATTTCCTTCGTGTTCCACGAAATGATACAATTTTTTTTTTTTTTTTTTTTTAAAAAAAAAAAAAAAAAAAAAAAGATTTCCTTCGTGTTCCACGAAATGATACAATTTTTTTTTTTTTTTTGTACAAGCATTGCTAAGCATAAGCTTCGTACTCTTGCAATGGAACACGTACTAATAAGAAAGCGTAATACAAAGCAAACATTTTGAATTCCGATGCGGATGGTATAGTTACACACTATGGTCCGACGGAACTTTTATAACAACTTGACATTCGCTTATAGCGCGAAGGTGTTGTGGAAGCGAGCAAGTTTGCTCGAGCACAGACTCGAGAACATATGTGTACGTTTATATTCCGTTGAAAATCGTTCGAATTTAGTAACGATACTCTCCATTAGCTAAGGTATTTCAACGTGAATAGCGAAGTAAATTAGCTGCGTAATAAACGGTTGAATGACACCTAGCTGCTCTCTATTATATTTTTGTATGCAAAAAAAAAAAAAAAAAAAAAAAAAAAAAAAATCGCTAGAATATGAGAAATATGCAACTCGAGAACATTGAAATTCTACGCTCACCGAAAACAACTTACACAAAGTGGACAAAATTATAAGACGCTAACATTTAATAAAAAAAAAAGAAAAAAAATATACGTATCATGATGATTGGATATTTTTTATTACTAAAATTATACCAATTTTAGATCGGAGAATCTTTGAATTTTAATATCGTGGAGGAAATGAAAATTTAGAATATACGAAGGAGACGAGCAATAGAATGATATTAAAAAAAATTTAAAAAAGCGCGCATTTGTGCGCGCAAAAATTTGGATCTTCAAAATAAAAAAGATTCGCTACCAATATTAAAAAAAAATAATTTAAATTTGATAATTTCGTCCAAGTTTAAAATTGTATTTTCTTTTTTTTTAAATTCAAAATTCATTATAATATTTATAGATTTATAGATCGTAATATTACATATTACAACTAAATATGTAATACTGTTTTCCGAGTGTCTTATAATTTTATCTACTTTGTGTACATCTTCGCATTCTAAACTCCCTTTCGAAACTCTCACGAATTAAAGAAATCGCGGATAATGTCTGGAAAACGTTTGAAACTCGTGAAACATTGCATTCGTAAGCATTCTCCGCAATTAGCGAATAAACGACACTTTCGAGCGCTCGTGTTACACGAGAGGTACAACCTTTTAACGTTTATCGCGTAACACGGGTCAACCCCGTTGCTCAGTTGATAAATATACGATAGCCGCCCTCGCGCGTCGCGGTAATTTTCAAACTGATATTCATGCGTCGTTTCCCTTTAATTGGAACGGAGATCGCGTTAAATCGATCTCGATTACTTTTGTAATTGTATACCACGGGCCTATTGTGCGATCATCGTAGAATACTCCACGAATAAGACACATTTGACGAGATTCCGACAAAAGATTTTACTTGTAGAATTGGTGGTGGCACGCCACGACAATACGTTTCGTAATGATGTTTCGCGCCGCGGAAAAATATACAATATGTCAGATACGTAAAGTCTATTATTAAGATGCGAATGAAATTTCAGAATGAAATTATTGACAATTGGTCCCGGGAGTATTTCTCGCGAATAATTTTCAATGTGAACGCAGTAAAACCGAAAAATAAGCTCTCGAGATTATTTCGGGAAAAACTTTTTAATTAATTCTTAATTGTATTTATAATCCATCTTTCGTGGCGCTAGTGGCTAGTTGTATGTATCGCGATTGGTGATATCATTATTTCTTCGCTGCGAGCATCTCCGAGCATCACGGAGATTCGGAAACGTTAACTTTTGCGTAGGAAGAACGAGATAGGAAGTTGCGTAACCAAGTTGTTTCGATAAGAAAGAACTAAGCGTTTATTCGTCGTTGTCCGATCGTCAGTTAAACCTCTTTGAAAACGAGAAGCCCGACGACTCGGTATTTCGATCGTACACGCGTGCGCGTGCACCGACGCGTGTACCGACGCGCACGCGCGCGTTTCTTTCCAATTAATTGTATTAATCGTCAAATTGGAGGATGCTCAATTAAACCCAATAAGTTAACTATTAAATAATCGTTGCGAATTGAGGCCAGCCGTTCGTGGCGTAGCCGGTATTCGAGTCGTATCATACTCGCGTTCGTTCGCTCGCGTTGCGCATGCGCAAGCGCAGATGCCAAACGGTTGCGCGAGACTGCGATTACCGTGTAACGTTTAAGCAAAATATTTTCTATTAACGATCGAGCTTGTTTCGTTAAGAACTTCTTTCTTTCTCTTTTCTTTCACTCTTTTTTTTTTCTTCTCTCTCCCTCTTTGTTTTATTCTATATAACGATTGTACGCCAACGATAATACAATCGATACGTTAACGTATACACGACACGTAGTGTTTATTTCCCGCTCCCACATATCCCCGCCGCAACTTGCCTTTCAATACTTTGTTCGCAGGTACGCTACGCCCCAACCAGCTACAAAGGAACCTAAGTACACGATACTCGCACCTTCGCTCGACTTACCTACGTCTGGTTTATTTACCCTATTTATATTGTCGTATGGCTTGTATCGATTTCGTCGAATTCGAATCGTCGTCGCTTTCGAAACGATTCGATTCGATTCAATTTGATTCTTTCAATTCATTTGCATATATTCGTTCGCGCGAATCGACGCGCGTCCGTTTACACGCTCGCGTAACACGGCGAATCAACTTTTCGATCGATCGATTTGAATCGATCGCGTTAACGAAACCGATGAGTCACGAATAACGAAAACGTATATGAAATGGAAAAAAAAAAAAAAAGAAAAAGAAAAAAGAAAAAGAGGAAAAAAAAACAAAAAAAAAAGGAGATAATCGAAAAGTTGATCGTTGATGTTAATTCGCTCCCAGATCTTTATATCACGCGTAATCTTCTCTCCCTTGATCGAACTAATACGACTCGTACTAACGCTCGGCTTTTTCTGTTTTCTCTTTTCCACGGGGGGCGTAAACTAGCAGACAGCTACCAGTATCAGCTGCAATCGATGTGGCAGAAATGTTGGAACACCAATCAGAGCCTGGTCCACAATCTGCGCTTTCGTGAACGTGGCCCGCTCAAATCTTGGCGACCGGAAACGATGGCGGAGGCGATCTTCAGCGTCCTGAAAGAAGGATTGTCCTTGAGTCAGGCAGCTAGGTAAATATATCCCTTTTTTCAACTTACTTTTCCAATATACGCAATACGTTCTTTCTACGTTATCCTTCCGTTCACGTCTCTCCCTCCCTCCTCCTTCCATAATTTTTTGAAATCAAAGGAAACCGAATTTCTCCCGTTAAAACGAATCTCGTCGCGCCGCTACTTAATCCGGTCGAATTACATCTGCATGAGACATTTCCCTCCCGTTTAGGGAAGAAGAAAGAAGAATTGAATTATTAGATGGATATTTGCGGCGCGACGAGACAAATTAAACTAAGAAAGTTCATCGGACCGTTGGTTGCAACCGTGGAAATTTTCAATCGATCCCCCTATTATAACGAGGGGGGGA